AAAAAAAAGCTCAATTCCAATCTTGAGGACTATTAGTATGTCATTATACATATTTTAATTCAACTTTTAAAAAAACAAAATTTTTTCCGCAATTTTTCCTTTGTTGACTGGCCTAGATGTCAATTTTAAACTTGTAATTGAGCTAAAAGTTATGGTAATATATTCAATTTATTTTACTATAAACTTTCAAAAATCTTTATCAAAAGTTTTTCATCAACTTTAAAAAACCAAAAAAATAGGTTAAAATTTCACCAGAAATTTTGGTTTAGCAAACTCTTTCGGGTACATCATCACTATAAGGGTGAAAAATCCCTTCCAAGGGATTTCCCCCAGTTTTGAGCCGATTTCTCCCAAAATTGGAGATATTGCGCAAAGCATCGGGAAAACCAGCTGGTGCAATTCTGGAAGTGTTTGTTCGAAGCGTTCTTGAGTGGTCCACCTTAATGTTTGAAACTGTCAGTTACGATGCCTTCGGATTCGTTAACTGACAGGGATACTGGACATGAAGATACCGGAGAAGAAGTGTTTGGGAACGAAACGATATCTTTGGTGGACAGATTAAGAGAGACCACGATGGAGAAAGAGAGGATGAAATCTGTAGACAGTCTTGACAGCGAGACTCTAGAATTCACCTCGAATTTACTGGAGGAACTGGAAAAGACGATGAAGGAGGAGATTGCCAGACTGAGCAGGAGATTAGACAAAATGGTGGCTTTCATTAGATCACCATCCGGTAGAAATGTACATACCACTATGAAAGGCTTAGTGATTGACTCGGATCGCATCTGCAAAAAGGTTAGCGAGGTCAAAGACCTTGCGGAGAAAACAAGAGGCTCTTGGCAAAGAAAGATCATAGATGGTCTGGAGAACACGGTGGTGCCGAAGATATCTATGGATGAAGGTAAACTGGACAATATATATTCGGCGATTGTAGAGTTAAGGCATACAGTGGAGGGGCGGTTGGGATTGGAGGAACCGATTAAAAACAACAGGCAAGGCACGCAGAAAGTGGACAAAGATAGGGCGGGAAAGCAGACGGAGACGACTAGGGTCAGCAAGGTGGACGACTGGGGCAAGGTAACTACCAAAAAAGCAAGGAAAATGGAAGGCAAGACGAAACCACCAGCAGTCTTGATCAAAACTGGGGCAACTTCGTATGTTGAAGCGCTAAAGAAAATCAGAACGGAGCCATCATTAAGGGAACTGGCGCAAGACATAACGGCGATGAGAAAAACGGAAGCGGGCCATCTTCTGGTCGAAATGAGCAGAGGATCACTTTCGGTGGAGAAGGTCAACTCGGCAATAAAAACGGCAGTGGGAAGTGAGCTAGTGGTATCCACCTTACAAAACACTACAAGGTTTGGAATCTTTGGACTAGACGATATTACAACTCAGGAGGAGGTTCTCGAGGCTGTAGATAGGGAGACAAATTTCAGGGCTGGAGGCATTGAGGTCAAAATAGTCCTGAGGGACATGGCTAGAAGCCAGAAGTTGGCCATAGTGACCATGCCACAGGAGTTGGCGAAGAAAATACTTGAGAAGGGACGACTTTGTGTTGGTTATGTTTCATGCAGGATTAAACAGTGGATTGATAAGAAGCGATGTTTCCGGTGCATGGCCTTTGGCCATGACTCAAAGGAGTGCTCTGGACCGGACCGCACTGACTGCTGCCGGGCATGTGGACAGGGAGGACATGTGGCCAAGGAATGTAAGGAGCCGGAGGACACGAGGAAGGCATTTGGAGTCCTGCTGAGACGGGAAGAAACGGAGAGGCTGCACCGAATAGCTGGAGCAGGTAGAAGTTTGGAGGTGAGCAGCGGAGTGCCATCGTCCTCACTGCAATCATGATGGAGTCCATTAGGTTCTTGCAGGGTAACATGAACCACTGCAGGGAGGCGATGGATTTGCTGCGGCAGCAAATCCGTGAAGAGTGCATAGACGTGGTGATTGCGTCGGAGCACCACGGACTAACGGACGGTGAAGGAGGATGGTTGGTGGCTAACAGGGCTGCATTGGGAATATTTGGTGATGGAATATCGGTGGCTGGACCGGAGTATGACACCTGCTTTGTGGCAGCTCGAATCAATTCAATAACGGTGTTCAGTTGTTATGTCTCCCCCAACAGCACTATGCAGGAGTTCGAGAACTTCCTTAACAGATTAGAAGGTAGTATCCGGCGACGGAATCTTGACGGAGGCATAATTGTTGCCGGAGACTTCAATGCTAGGTCAGTGGCTTGGGGAGACACTCTGACCAACGCAAGAGGAGATGCTCTGAATGACTTAATGGTAGGAACAAACCTCAACATACTAAACAGTGGCAATACTCCAACATTTATTGGAAGAGGAATGGGGTCACTGGTAGATGTGACGGCAGCTTCTCCATTGGTAGGTAGCAAAATAAGTGATTGGAGAGTACGGACGGATGGTGATAACTATTCGGACCACAATTACATATCGTTTAGTGTCCAGGACATGAAAACGAGGAGCTTAAATCAATTCAACAGCGGAGGTTGGGTCACTTCTAAGGGACTGGACCTGGAAGTTTTTAAAACAGGATATCTATGGTCAAAGCGAGAGGAAACAGAAGAAGATGACATTGAAGACATGATACTGGAATTTGAGAGAAATGTCAAGGCGGCATGCGACTTCTCCCTGCCCAAGAAGAATCTTCCGCCACATGAGAAACCTCCAGTGTACTGGTGGAATGAGGAAATAGCGGCCATGAGGAAAAATTGTACACGCTCCAGAAGAGTTTACAAGAAAGCTGGGACAGCAGCCAGGAGAGGAAGGTTTTCCGAGGCAGAGCTAGCTCGTCTCAAAGAAGCCCTAAAAGAAGCCAGGCGTAGCCTGAAATATGGAATAAGGGAAGCAAAAAAGAAGTGCTGGAGGGAGCTTATCAAGTCAGTGGACAAGGACCCATGGGGGAGGCCTTACAAGCTGGTGATGGGGAAACTAAAAGGCAAATCAGGATCTAATCAGATGGAGGCCACACTTATCAAAGAAGCTGTGAGGGAACTATTCCCTGATCATTCCGAAGACAGTATACAAGCAGCGGAAACAACATCGACGGACACAGTTCAATGGTTCACTAACGAAGAGATAGAGGAGGTAATATACCACATAAGAGGGAAAAGGAAAGCGCCTGGTCCAGATGGACTAACAAACATGATACTAGCGGCGGTACATGCTTCTGACCCTCACATATTAAGGAAGTTATGTAACAAATGTCTGGCAGAAGGAGTGTTTCCAACCAGATGGAAGGAGGCCAGACTGGTACTGGTCAGAAAAGGCAACAAGCCAGCAACCGATCCATCATCCTTCAGACCGTTATGTCTGTTAAACGATATAGCTAAACTGCTGGAGAGGTTGCTGGTTTGGAGAATGGACAAATGTCTAGCACGTAATGGAGACTTGTCAACTCACCAGTATGGGTTTAGGAAGGGCAGATCAACCATAGATGCATTACAAGAAGTTCAACAAACGGCAATCAGAGCCATTAATAATTATAAGTGTTGTGTAGCCGTAAGCTTAGATATAAAAAATGCTTTCAATTCGATAGCTTGGCGCCATATAGTAAGTTCGTTGCAGAAATGGCATGTCCCACAAGAAGTAGAAAGGCTACTGCGCTCATACTTCCAAAACAGACGAGCATTTATTGTATGTGCAGCAAATGGGGAAGAGATAGAGGTGCCGGTCACGTGTGGGGTACCCCAAGGATCGGTACTTGGGCCTACCCTGTGGAACATGACCTACAACAGCGTACTGGAGATGACATTGCCAACGGGAACATCGGTGATAGGGTTTGCAGATGATACTCTAGTAATTGCGGTAGCCGACTCCCCGGAGGAGGTAGAGTCAAAGGCCAATGAGGCATTGGCAATAGTCACTGGAGAAATTAGGAGACTGGGCCTCAGAATAGCCGTATCAAAGACGGAGGCTATTTTCTTCCGAAGGAAATATATAGCCGTATCAAATACGGAGGATATTATCCTCCGAAGGAAATATAAAGATAAAACTCCCAGGATAAAAGTTGAGCAACAGGTCATACCGGTGAATCAATCAATCAATTACCTTGGAGTCACTATCGATAGGGATCTCATGTTTGGGCAACACGTTACCAAGGTAGCTGAGAGAGCAATGAAGATGAGCACATCACTACTCAGGATAATGCCCAACTTAGGAGGACCGAAAGAAAGTAGGAGAAAGCTGTTTGTGGAGGTCCTTCATTCAGTGCTCCTATATGGCGCGCCAATTTGGGCGGACACATTAAGATACAAGAAGGCGAGCGTTGACACACTCAGGAAAGTGCAAAGGAGGATCCTGTTGGCTAAAGTGTGTGCTTACCGAACGGTTAGTGGCACTGCCACCAACATCCTAGCGGCAGTTCCACCTATAGATCTATTGGCAGAGGAGAGGAGAGATTTGCATGAATGGAGAGCCTCGGCGGTAGACATCAATACAGATTACAGGAGGGTGTTGAGACAGCGAACGATAGGAAAGTGGATGAGGCAAGTACAAGACTCCACAAAAGGGGAGTGGACTAAAAAATTACTTCACAACAATCTGGAGGAGTGGGTTACAAGGAGACACGGGGAGGTGGACTTCCACCTCACGCAATTGCTGTCCAACCATGGGTGTTTCTCCAGCTACTTATACAAAATAAGAAGGCTGGAGACTAGCTCATGTTGGAGCTGTAACCACTCGGAGGACGACGCTTTACACACTCTGTGGCGGTGTCCCAGGTGGGAAACTATGCGCCATCAAATGCGGTGCCAGATTGGATATGGTGAGGAAAATGATATTATATCCAAAATGTTGGAAAATAAAGAAAATTGGTTGGCAGTGCAAGTATTTGCAAATACGGTAATAGGAGCCAAAGAAGAGTTAGAAAGGGAGATGCAACGGCAGCAGCAGGGGCGACGGGATCTGTGATCCGGCCAAAGAATACGATGGAGAATGTATATAGAAGACAAATATTGTATATAGGATTACAGGAAATACGTTGTTAGAATACAATTATCATGATTTGTAAATAACTTAGTAGTATGTACCGATGTAAATATAGATCAAGTAGATCGATTGTATTGTAAATAGTTTAAGATAAATGTAAATATGTTGATTTTGCTAATAAACGGCAACGGCCAAACCGGGGGAAGTAATGCCTAACGGCTGGTTCCCCCCGGAATGGCTACGGTTGCATATG